GACATGGTGGTGCAATCCCACAATGACCTTTATTTAACTTTCCTTCTGATCTCTATGCCTTTTCTTTGTGCTTTCTTTGAGTTTAACTGTAGATTGAATGGTGGTTTATAAATAGATTAAAGTTCTAGCTATAATAAGAAAATGTTCTCTCCTGCCCACTTTTTACATCCAGTCTTATAGACTGAGCACCAAAAAAGTAAGTTAAATGTTTAGGCTGGCAAAAGCATATTCACAGATACGTGAAGCTTATTTGCAACATCCCATAATGTATTTCACATGCATTCATTATACATTGTTTTGGGGATGCATAGATTTGCTCTGAACCATACTCATTTTTCATCTTGACATATTAAGGTGTTAACTGTTACCCTACCAAGCATAAAGCAGGCGCTAGTGGTTACACAGCATTCCTGTCCCAGGCTAAATTGCCAATGAGGAAGACACTTTGTTTAATTACATTTGGAAAGGCTGAGGCAATCCCAAGTGGATACCTCAGGCATGTTTAGTTACCAACCACTTGAGATGGCCAGTATTTTGGTGTAGGATTTCACTATGAGAGGACTCTTAAAATGACGTTTTGTGTATAATCCATACTTTATGTGCATCGGCCCTGCTAAAACACCTGCCAGTAGCTGCACTACTGTAAAGCTGGTACCACTACATCTGTGCATGTCATCAGACAAAGTTAGGCCGGGCTTAATTTGGGCCTTGTCTTTGGCTTTTGTTGATTACATCATCTCGTTTATTACGCTTCTGTGCTGTCATTTATTATGACGGTGATTCATTTGTGGATCCTGGCTGCACTTTGGATTAGGTTTAGTGTATAAAATAACAATCCACTTACTGGATTGTTAATCGGCTCTTCTTGAAAATTATTTAGTCTCATTTATGTTTTTCAAGTGCCAGTATGGGTGGCGTACAGACATCCTGTTGGTTAAATTCCTGTCAACGGACATGCACTTTGCATCTCATACAGTTTAAAGCTAACTTCTTTTAACACATTCAACTTCCCCACCCTTGGCCTGCTATTTGAACAAATAAGGAGCCAACAATGATAATACACTGATTGACAAGAGGCTTTCTGCAGTGCTGGATTTCCCTGAGGGATTAGTTCCTGACCCTTCCCTTAGTATCTGTACTTAAAATACCTGTGGTTTATTCCTCAGTCATATGCAGATTACCCTGCTGTTAGCCTAAGGCAACTTCCATCATATTTTATGAGTTCTTTAGACTTTACTAGCTCGTCAGATCTTTAGATGTTTGTTGATGGACCAAACAACATATTGAATATCGAACGGAAAAAATATATATATTTGATTTATTTTTCAAATAAAAATGATGAATTTACTTCATTATTATTCTCATCCCCATTTATTTGTTTTTAATTAATATCTTTACAGCCAATACTCGTATTTGTTCTCAAGAATACGTGTGAAAAGTTGAACTGATAAATATTTTTTTGAATAAGTGGTTGCTTAAGGGCTCACTTCAGATGTTTTTCAGATTCCTTGATTTCAAGGCCGGAAGGGAAAACTTCTCTAACCAACTTCAGAACACAGGCCAAGTGTTCATGAAGCCATTTTGAAAGCTCATTGATTTCCCTTCTACTGTTTGTAAAAGTTTGGGTCACCCAGTTAGGCACAAGTGTTCTTGACAACACATTCTGCTAGTGAATGGAAAGTAGTTGAAGATGTAGAGGAGAGCTGGTTGCCAACAATCATGGATTGACATGCTTTCATGTAAAGTGTTTTTGGGATAATTCTGAATGCAATGGAAATCAGTAAACATTCACATCAGGCTGCAATCCTGCCGACGCACACTGTTTAACTTTACAACTAGCCCCAGCGACTCCCAGACAACTCTTCCTTAAACACATGTGTGTTTGCAAGATACAAGACCTTAGTTTGCAGTTAATTAAAGAGCAGAAAAAAGGAATAAACCGCAGACAAATAAATCATTATGCTCTAGTTGTGAGTCATTATAAATACAGAAGCAGCATAAAATATAAGTTGTAATTTGTAAATTTCAAGCATTAAATTACATCTGTTTTGGTTTTATTGCATTTGCAAACAATTCTTGTCAAAAGAACAAAGAACAAATTCCCTTTGCCTTCAAATATTCTTTCTAAGTTAATGAACTGATTGAAATTTGTCAATTTTTTTCAAAATTCAATTGAATTCAATTCTTCAGTTCAAAATTCAGTGAAATAACCACCTTTCAAAACCATTGCAAAATATAGCTAATAGTTGTTGTTTATAATTTAACTTTATAAAAATCTACTGAATCACTGAAAATAGGGAATTATTCAAAAATTTTTACGTACATATATATATTTCAAAATAAGGCTAAACGCTGTCAGTTAAATACTCTTAAACATTGAATATATATTTTAATACAGATAACTGCAGAGTAGAATCAGGCAATTTACATAATGGGAACATTTGCCCAATCCATTGTTTACCGAGGCCTAATCAGATAGCTCAATCAGCTACTCAAACATCAACTATAATTAAATATCTAGACTATGGACAGAAGGTAGCTGTTTCAAACCAGGGTTCACATTCTTTATAATCTATATGTGGTCCAAAATATAAATCCATTTTCCAGTTTGCATCACACGTCTCCCTCAAAGGGCACAGACAGAAGTTACATTTGTTGCGTGACTGGCCCCTGAAAGCACTCTAGAGCCATGCCATGACACACATGCGTGGCTGCAGCGTGCTTTAAAAGTGGCTGACTACATGACAAATTAATCCTTAACAAATAAGGGATCAGATGAAGGTGCTCCACTCTGGAGTGCCTTAGGGAACTTCTGATGGCTAGGGTCAATCTGTTGTATGTTTGGGGCTGGGCTGTATCAGTCCAGCTCTGCCCCCAGTGCTGTCTGCAGAAAGGGGAGGGGGAGGGGAGGCAAGCTGCAGACTGGGGTTTGCCCAGCCTAAACTGGAGGAAGGGTGGGTAGATTAGAGACACTCCTCCAGCTCAGGCTGGGCAAACCCCAGCCCGCAGCTTGTCCTCCTCCTTTCTTCACCATCCCTTCCTGCAGACAGCATCGGAGCCGAGAGGGCCGGGGGGGGACTAGGGGAGAAAGGCTGGAGGCAGGCTACACAGGCTTAATTGGCTCCAAAGTGGAGCTCAATTCCCCACACCCACCCACCCCTCAACCCAGCAGGCAAGCAGCTGTTGAGTTGTGGGGGTGCTCTAACTCATGGCATTTTCTGCAAAGCGCCATGAGTCAGAATAGGCTTGTACAACTGTCAGCACTCAAAAATTCTGAAATCTTTTGGTAGGCCCCATCCCATCTAGAGATAAAAACCCAACGATGATATGAAGATCTGGACACAAACCTCACTGTTCTTCATTTTCTCCCTCGGGCTGGCAATTTTGAGCCCATCACTGTATAAACAAAAAATAAGCTTCCCACTGTTTCAAGTGAATATAGTGACTTTGCCTCTATTTTTGTATGCAATCTATTGATTTTAATGGCAGAGAAACTTAAAATATCTGTAACTGCAAAAGAAAACATGGAAAAAGAATGTCCCAAGGATATTTTCATGACCCCATAAGCCAGCCTTTGGCCTACTTGAGCATTGTAACCAGTGCTAACATACCACCTGACTATCCCATGGGAATAATAAAAATGGGCTTAAGTAAAAGTTACAGCTTGCCACAAGCAGAACTCAGGATAAACTGAGTTTCCCAGTAAGCTGCTGTTTTGTTATGGTGGTTTTGTTTTTAGAGAGGAATCATATTTTTTTGCCAATTATTTGACTTTTTCCTATCACTATGCATTCTGAAAAACGGCAGCAGCATTAATACCTCTAATGAATGGAATGCAATGTTAAATATGGGTGATTGTGAAAAGCAATGTATACCTATTGTTATTACAGACTAGTATAGGACATGTTACAGTTATGTCCTTTCATAAACCTAAGAAAACATTTCAGAAGCTCAAATACCACAACTTCCCAATTGCAGTGGCTAGCTCGTCATATTAATAGTGACTACTGGGCTTATAAGGGAGAGATGCTTGGTAGGAATAGCAGCTTAGTAGTAAATTATTTGCATATTTTTATAAGAACTGCCCTGCCCCGCTACATCACTATAAAGATGTACAATTGAGGATCCTGCATTGAATTTGCCAGCTGGAATTGACAGTGGCTTTTGCTCATTATAAATAGAACAACCTGTACTTTTGGAAGAGAGAAAATGGACTAAATCAATCATGCTAAGCTTTGTCAAAGAAAACTGAATTGGAATTTTCCCATGAATCTAACCATCACCCCAAATCCACATAAAAGACTAAATTACAACTGCTCACATCTTCATTACAAAGGTGCAGCATGTTGTCACTACCACTCCCATATGCCATGATTCATCTCCACTGAGTGGCTTTTGGCTTGAAGCATGATAGAGCACTGTATGCTGGGATACACCTGTAAAAGCTGCACCTCCGTAGGAGAAACAAGAGTGGCCAGAGGCCACAAAATATCTATTAGCCACAGCTGGCTTGCTGTGCACATTTTTGACCACCCCTGAAAAAGGCTGACTTAGATGTGTTGTGAAATTTAAGCTGGTAAAAGATGCTGTGCTGTTTTCTTTGCCTGTACAGACCTGATTACATGTGTACATTTTGGTTGTTTGCATTTAAAAGGTACCTCTCTGACCAATGGAGGCCTGAACCTGCACAGCACTGTGAAAAGGAAACTGGATGGGGAGAAAGATTACGTATTTGATAAGAGGCTAAGGTACAGCGTGCGTCAAAATGAAAGTAACTGTCGATTCAGGGACATTGTGGTCCGGAAGGAAGATGGTTTCACGCACATTCTGCTGTCTAGCCAGACATCAGATAACAATGCACTGACCCCAGAGGTAAGCATGCAGCCAGAAAAGCAAAAGCAGCCACCTGAATAGGTGGGGATCTGGTTAACCCCATAATTACTCTGGTTTTTTCCATGTTATCTTTAAAAATGTATTGAGGTCAAATATACCCTTATTTTACATGCTTGGGGTTTAATCCAACAGGAGATGATGATTAAATGTGATGGAAATTAATTTTTCAATGTTTTTCTAAAGTGAAGATAAGAAGAAAGGAAAGGAAAGACATGATCAGTAATCCCTGTTTAGCATTTTAAGATCCAATAGTTTAATGGCCTTTTACCCCCTTTAGTGAAACTATGACCTCTAAGTAATGTGAACTGGATAGTACTTCAAGGGATTTACATACATACACACATATCTCAGGCTGTGCATCTAAGGATAAGAATACAAAGTGGCAATGTACAACTTGATTCTTGGCTTGATTATTTTTAAACACCTGTTTAACACTCGTTTACTGAATTCTTTACAAAGTAGGGCACTGACCCTACTCTGAACTGCAAAGGGGCAGGAGGCATGCACAGAATGCAGTGGTTCCCCATGTGCTCCAGTCATCCTGTATTCAGGGCCAGACTTTGGCTTGCTGTAGGCCAGTGCACAAGGTCAAGGGGAGAAGACGACAAAAAAGCTTTCCTCATTCCTTGCCCTCTTGTGGGTAGTTTTGATCACATGATGCATTACCTGACTGTAAGAGCAACGGAAGACCAATTCAGGCAGGGGTTCCTAAAAGACAGCCCATAAGCCACTTGCAACCCGCAAAGCATTTGTATGTGGCCCACAAACAGACCTTTTAATGGTGGCACTCTGGACACCAAATTATGTTATACCTGTTGCATGAAGGTAATGCACTACAGATTCATTTTGATGTGCAGCCGTCAGCGGCATGTCCTACACACTAAGCAGCCCTCCATGGGCAGAACTTTGGGGCTAGGGACACGCATTACACATAAACCGGTTTAAGTGATCAGAAACAGGTTTTAATCTGTAACAGAACAGATGTTCAGTGCACATAAACCGGTTTGAAAATGGCTAAAACCAGTTGGAAATAAACCTGGTTGAATGTAGTATCAGACTTAACTGATTTGGGTCAAACTGGTTTATGCAATGTCTGTCCCAGACCCCTTCCTGGTTTAACTTAAACCTGAGTCCCCCAGCATCCCAGATGCTTTGCAGCCCTGGGCGGGGCTCTCTGCTCCAGAGCAGGGCTGGCCCTACCCCGCTGTTCCCTGGCTGGAGCTCTGGAAGAGACCGTAGGCAAAGCAGCATCTGCCTGGCTTCCCTGTGCTCCCTCCCACCCCCCCTCAACTCCCTGCTCAAGCAGGGATTGCCCCCCTCCTCCTCTCCCACAGCACAGACATAGCCAGCATGTGGTATGCTAGCTAATGCTGAGAGGTGTCTGTGTAAGGCAAACAGGACAAAGGCAGACAGGACAGTGTCTGCTTAGGACTTTTTAGAGCTAATCAACAGGTAGGTGGTAATGTCTCTCTGTTCCTTCCTTGGAAAAAGTTGTTTAAGAAGAGCTTGAGCCAATGAGAGAGACTTTTGTTTTCTTGATGGGGTGCTAAATGCTGTGTTATCAACTCTCTGCTGGCTTCCTTGCTGGTCAGGAGCAGCGAGAGGGGAGGAGAATCCCTCCCTAATCAGAGCATCCTGCCAGGGCCTGGCCACGCCTCTCACAGCTCAGCTCTATACAAGGGAAGGGAGGGCTACTCTGGCACCCCCTGGCTTCTAGCCTGAGTCATTGCAGGTATGTGCCTGCATTTCCTCAGTCCAGAGGTAATGTCTGTACGGTTACAAACCGGTTCAGCCTAGCCAGGTTAGACTAACCTGCAAAGATTGAATCAATTCAGACTCAGGCTTTTTGAATGTTTGTCCCCAGCCTGCTCTGGGTATAGGATAAGGGCTGAGACCCTTTCCACGTTGGCTGGTGATAGTGAAGCTAGCCTGACAAGAGGAGCATATCCTGCATTTCTGGAAAGACAGTGTAGAAGCTACCTTCTGCCACAGCCACCAGCAGTACCATGTCTGCCTGGGTGGTCTATAGGCTGACTAGTCACAAGAAATGATAGCGGGACCTCAGCAATCTGACCCTCACTGCCTCCTCAGACACTCCAGCATGCTCTAGCTTATAAAGTCACCACAAAGCTCTTAGTGTTAGAATATAGGAAGGCACCATACTGAACCCTGTCCTACGGAGGATTTTGTTGCTTTTATTAAGTAAGAAATGTGTCAGTTTAAAATTGATGCCCAATAGTTAAAGCCACGACCAAGCACGATAAACCTTATATTTTATTTTTTTTAAATCGTTAAGATCCAGCAGGGAGTGCATTCTCAGTTTTTCATCTACTCACACAGGTAATAGGTGCCACAAAAATAGATATTTACCACCTACATTATTAAAATAATGAATAGATTTGCAATATTTATAAAGAAATAACATGGTGAAGGTAAACCAAACATCCATTTTTAATGATACTGCCCTTCTAAATACATACTAGTTTAAATCCATCATTCCAATAGAATCCATCACTCCATTAATACAGCAATATGAAATGGTTTTATTAGAATGGACTAAAGCAAACCAAAGATTTGCCACAGCCACTTCGAGCAGACGCAGTTTTGAGCTGCTGTCCTCAAGACCTCATACCCATAATACCAGGAAGTGCTCAGGTTAAATGAGAAATGTCAATAGAGCTCACCCCTTTTCATTTACTTGGCTTCTTTCAATAGCGCTGAAAACAGCAACACACACATATCCATGAACTAAACATATATTTTTGGATTCTTTTTCTCAGAACTACAGCATCCACTGTGCCCAGCACTGGACTCAGATTGGTCTGAGCTGAGGTGCAAACACTGAAATTTTTTTTTTAAAAGCTTCATTAAAAACAGGGTTTTACCGTAACACCAAGATTGAGATTGCCTGTTTAAAACCTGTTCAAACCCATTGCAACAGAAAGCACTCAACCCCTTCTCTCCCCATCAGTGGCTCAGCCCTCAAGTATCATCACAAAATCCAACACCATGACTGACATAGACTGACACCCTTGTTACCAATTACAGCAAGACCTTCAACAGCACAAGTCCCTGGTGTTGAAACGTACTGTTTTGTAGGCACGGTTGAGGCAAATTGGTGGAGCAGCTTGGGGAAGCTTGCAATATATGGTGGATGAACGATGAGCTTTAGTTTTGCCACCTACCAGCACGAACTACACACCCACAAAACGCTGAGAGTGTCCGTTTTGTTAGAAAATACAACATGATTACAAACACAGGAAACAATGTTTGTCTAATGCAGAAGGACACATCTGCTCAGACCACGTCATGATAGCTACAGTCCTAGGAGCTTGGAAACACGGTCACCTCTGGAAGAATAAGTAGATAAAGCTACAAACTCCGTGAAAGCCCTGATGCCCCGAACTGCTCTGCTTTCCATTGTCATTTCTCCTGCTCTTGCCATCTGGCAATACCTCCTTTGAGGCTTAACAATTTTGTTTAACCAGTAGCTTATGCTGCTTCTCTCCATTTAATTAAAGACCTGTAAGAATCCGGAGGTCACGTTATAGCGTTCTCTGCATGTGCCAAGCAAAGAGGCAGCAAACTTATGCTGGAAAAGAAATGGGCCTCATCACCAAGTCTGCTATTCACATCCTTTTCACTAGGCTTGTTCTGATCAGAGTGAAGGGAGGTGGGCTACGCCTAAATGAAACTTAATAATACATGGTGAATAACTATATCATAGCTGTAGTTCATGCAGGTGATTTTTAGCATGAATTGCACCTATGTTCCTTCCCTTAGGATTTCCATTGCCTGAAATTGGCTCAGTGCCACTATTGTAACTGGGTTGGGGGGAGGGAAATTATCATGTCACTAAAGGATTGTTTCTCTATATCTTTAACTAGACTCTGTAATTTTTAAAAACTAGCATCAAGCAACAGCACGGGTTTCTTTTGTTTTGAGGGGTTTGGGGGTTTTGCTTTGCTTGCTTTTCTGTTTATTATTTTTTTTAAAGAGCTGTAATATTTTTAATCAGCATAAATCTCACCAGCAGCATATATTTAACTTTGTAGGTCACATGCTCATTTTGAAGTTTCGAGTTCAACTTTTTGTGAAAATATAGCCCCCAAATATACTTTTTTCTTTTCTTTTTTTCACTGAGCAGCTTTCAATCAAAAACCTAAGAGCATTGTTCTTGCTTTCCCCAGGTAGGGTAACAATACAGCTGGGAATTAACACTCCATTGAGTTAAATGGCAGAAGAACAGACAAGAAAATATAGTCTGAACAGCTAATGGCTTTGATAAAGATTGATCTAACTACTCCGTACATATTATGAGTTGAAGATTGAAAGTGGAGGTGCACATATAAAATGTCAACATTCATACTTCTCGCCATGTAAAATGCAATGCTTGTAGTTTTATTGGATGTATGTCACATCATTGGTTTACCTTCACTTTTCTTCTCATAAAACATGGCAGGTACAAGTTGACAGCTATCTGTATTATTGTCCTTAGAGCAAGACAAATTGCTTCTTAGGGTAATACTTATGATTGAAGCCTGCTATGTCTTCCCAGTAGGGTTTTTATCTCAGATAGCCTTGTGTAAGGATGGAGAGAAGCATCAATAAACAACAAAAAGTAAATGTATAATTAATGCAAGACCACCAAAAGTAATACCTGCAAAAGAGGTATAAAAATAATTGCAAATGTCTCTAAATATTATTCCCACTTCAATCTGTTTAGAAAATTTTTTTTTTTTTAAAAGACAAATCAACAATTGTACACTTAACTTAAAAGTAATATGATTAAGTTTAGCCTCTTACAACTAGTATTTCTATCTATTTAAAAAAAAGTGGGGGTTAAGATCCCTTGATTAATTTAGGGGTAAATTCCCGTGTTATAGATTCTTTCTGAATATAAGTAAAATTTAGAGAGAAGGGCACCAAAATGCTTTTGAAAACTCATAGTGAAAGACAGCCTACCCAAAAAAGCTCTT